ATTAAAAATATATATATATATATATATATATATATATATATATATATATATCTATATATATATATATATATACATACATATACATATATATATATACGCTTTACACATTCACACACATACACACCACAAACACATATACATATACATATATATATATATATATATATATATATATATATATATATATATATATATATATATATATATATATATATGTGTGTGCATAAAGAGGTGTGTGTGTTGTGTGTGTGTTTTTGCATGGGAGTGGACACATAGTAAAAGGGGTATATATATATGTTTATAACTGCATTTTATTTTAGTTAAATAAAATAAATGGAAATAATTCAATTTATATTGAATTATTTACAAAATAAATACTTAATTATTTTTTTTTTAAATTTTGTTTTATAACTAAAATAATTTGCATAGAACTTCTCAATGAGAGAAGCCTTGCAAATTTTCGATGTGGGACGATACAACAACCTAGAAAATCGAACCGATAATTTCTTCGTTTTTTAGGAACTTTCGATAAGTTTATCGATTTAATTTGGTAATTTATTAATTGCTTTCGATTAAAACCTATTTAATTCGATGATGATTTTAGGTACACATTCTTCCCCACGAGATGCTAGGAATATCGACTTTCGGGCTATCAATGAGGTTGCTCAAATGGTTTCCTATACGCGTCGTTGATCAGATTCTCCTAGTGGCCTCCCGTCTGCTAATCGGTGATACGGGTCGGGTTGGGTTGACCCGGCCTTCCGTGGGCCCTCTCGAATTGAAGAGTTTGACCGGAAAGACCCCGGTTTTGGACGTTGGTACCCTTGACAAGATCAAAAGTGGACACATCAAGGTATATATATATAATTCCTATAGAATCTTTAAATTACGCGTAAATATATAAATTAATCGATTACGATGCCCTTGTTCTTGATTATTAAAGGTATGTCCCGGGATCAAGAGAGTAAGGCATCAATCCGTGGAATTCGTCGACGGAATAACCCGAGATTTCGATGCAATAGTCTTAGCAACTGGTTACAAAAGCAATGTACCAACTTGGCTAAAGGTAAATATATACATATATATATATATATATATACTTCCTTTTACTTTTACATATTTTATATATGTATATATGAAATAATTGGAGGGGCATGTTTGGTTTGAATCTATATCTTCCCCCACTCCAGGAAAGTGAAATGTTCTCTGAGAAAGATGGATTCCCGAAAAAGCCTTTCCCGAACGGATGGAAAGGCAAAAGCGGGCTTTACTCGGTAGGGTTCACCAAACGCGGCCTTATGGGAACTTCGATGGATGCTAGGAACATCGCCGAAGATATCGAAAACTGCTTGATGAAGAGAAGAAAACCATTTTTTCTTAACCACGTAATTCCTTGCAAAATATACAAAAATATATATAAATATATATATATATATATATGTAGAAATGGCCTATATATATATATATATATATGTGTGTGTGTGTGTGTGTGTGTGTGTGTGTGTGTGTGTGTGTGAAGGGGTTAGGAGGAGTTTATTTTTGACTTATTTAACTTGCCACTAAAAATAGGACTTAGAACTAAATAAGAGGTTTAGAGAGTGAAAAAAGGAGTTGGTTTAGATGGTATAGTTAAATCAATATTTAATAAATTTTTTTTTTTCTTTTTTTTAGTTTTTAGTTAATTTTTTTAGTGCAATGTATTCCAATTTATGATTTGTTCGATGTTACGTACAAGTACGTACGTACACCCAATAAATTTTTATTTGTACATAATTAATTTGAGCAGATATTTGTATGCGCGTACTGATTTATTACGTATAAACCGAACCAGACTAAACGAAACGTGATACCAAATCGAACATTAACACTCGTTTGAACTTGAATAAACACATATATAAATATATTTTTCTTCGATAAGATATGAATCTCGTTTCCATTTTAACACAAATAATAAATAACATTTAAAAAAAAACTCAAGCCTTTCAAGTTAGAATCTAACAATCATGCATGCCTTAGATTGTACTCAATTCTTTAATCATACTTATAAAAGAATATAAAAATAAAAATAAAAATAAAATAAAACTTTAATCATTATTTGCTTTTAAAGGAAACAATTCAATGAACCTAAAAATTCCATTCCGAGCATTACTTAGGTCACAAATATCGAGATGTTTCTTTAGTCTAATAAATTTATATTACATAATGTAAAAATAATTAAATATTAATAAATATATATATATAGGCCAAATTTTGGAAAGGTGGTAGGATATGTATGCATGCTTTTGGCCCCCATCTGCATAACAATGATGTCAACAACATGCATGCATGCAGCCATTAATTATTCTCATTTTATTGTCAACAAAAAATGAAATTAAATAAAAAAATATAAATTAGTGGTCAAGATTAATATCTAAATAAATAATTAATTAAGATTAATTGTATGACCAAATTAAAGCAAATAGTACTTAAAAGCATAAATTATGTAGTCCACAAATAGTGGTCCTCTCCTGGCCATTGGATCCACAAGTTCATCATGATGGTGCACTATTTGTTGATGACTTGATATCTATCCCCTTTCCGTACATCCACACGTGCTGCACGTGCGAATTCATCACCCCCATCCATTAAATAAAATAATTCATTTATTTTTAATTAAGAAAAATCCCTTTTTCATTTTAATTTATCTTGTTATAGTCATGTATTTCACTATATTTACATACAACCAATAAAAACACGAGTTGATATATTTATGTAAATATGTTTGCAATAATTATACAGTTTATTTCATATATATGATTACTAAATACATAAAATGTTTATTAACATTCGATTTCAAATAAATAATTTTTATTATTATTTATTTTTTGCATTATTTATATAAAATTATTGAGAATAATAATAAAATAGAAAACTCAGCGTGCGTTTTTAGTCATAAACAAAAGAAAAAGCTTGTTTCTATGTAAGCGTGAGGGGGACTATGGACCATTCACATATATTCAATTTGCTGTGAGAAGTCAGCATCAAATCAGATGGTTTATTTCTTTATTCATTTATTTATTTATTTATTTATTTATTTATTTATTTATCAAATATTATTTCTCCAAAGAGTACGAAATTAATGATTGGGATTAATTATTGTCATGAAGATCTATTGAGATTTGTCTGTCATAAAATGCAGGGTACTATTTTCCCTACATTAATAGTATGCTAAAAACATACTAAAACTTGTTATCATATGAAATTTATAATTAATTAGTAATATTTCATTGATGAAATCATTTTTTTTTTCTAGTTAGTTAGTGATGGGAATGAGTCGGTTCTAGGACGGGTTTGTCAAAATCCGAGACTTCAATCCGCAAAAATATATATGAAACACAAACCAACCCAATCCATCTTAGCATAGACCTAGATCTGCTTCGACCCATATATCTCCCAAAATTAAGATGCAATATTTTACAAGTGATATAAAGTGAATAGTAAATTTATACGGTTCTTGATGGTTTCAATTAGGCCCGTAACTCGGCCCAGAACTATCGGATTCTAGAAATTAAAATTCATTACTCAATCCAACATCATTTTAACTTTCCACAGACCTGCTCCAAACGAGTCAATTCCAGATCGGAGATCCGGCATACGTGTACCCATTATCATCCCTACATGGACTGTGACAGCTACTAGTTGTATACTTGTATTGAATAGTTAGTATCCATAATTGCAGATGTCATTTTTCTTTAATACAAAAATATAATTAACTTAGTTTGAATCTTATCATCTTAAAAATATTACTACTTTATATATGTTTTGTCAATCGAACTTAATAGTAACAAACGCACCACACCGAAACCTAATAGAGATCGAGCGATGCATGATTATCGAACACGTGGTTGCTAATGAATGGTTCGTATAACTTGTCTCAATCAATTCTTCGAAAAAATAAGAAAAATCGAAACCTAGTTAATAAATTACAGCTCATAAAAGAACAAATTTGGGTATAAAAAGCCTTCATCACTAACTAGGTTTTCTATTTAAAGAATTTAGTTTGAAAAAATACCAAAAATGAGATAGACATTCTTCCAATATGTAACAATTAAACCATCACAAATCAATAAATCATACACGTGTCAATTTATTCTTTAGCCTTTGACCAATTGTGGGAGTTGGAAAGTATAATAAAAAAGGAATATTCCATTAGAATTTGTATTGGGCCTACCAAATTTTAGTACTTTTGAATGGACCAGTCCACTTATCATATGTATGAAAAATGTCCGACAAGTTTTTTCTCAAAATCTTATAAGAATAGATTATGAGTTTTTATTTGCTTATAATCTGTTTTTATAAATTAATTTTTATTTTTGCTTCTTTTAAAATAAGCTGTTTTAAACTGTAATTTTAGATATACTTATAGACCTGCCTTTTCAATTTAAGTTGATTTTATAGCGTATTTACAAATACCCTCAACTTCTACAAAATAAGCATTTAAAACGAAATTAAATCACAATTAATGACTTCTGCTTTTAAATAAGTTTTTGCAAACACCACCTTATTCGATTGATTAAAGATCAAAAGATGAAAGTGACCAATCATGCACCATAACGATCGGTTAGCTAATTATCGATCGGACAATCATAACATTTGATCATCCATCTTTTCACACTACGAGTATGTGTTTTTGTGCGTGCGAATATTTTTAGGGACCTCAATAAATTAATAATTTCAATCACTAATATATCTTTTCAAGAAAACCAGTCCATTCAGTCGTGATCAGGGGCAGAAGTATGATTAAACTGTGGGGAGAGGGCGAGCTAAACTTTTTTAGGTTCTTAAGACATTCCGAAAATAGATTTATATTGCTAATTTTTATTATAATCTTATTATATTTTAAGTATGCAAAAATAAAATAAAAAAATCAATTAATCCAAGTGATTCTAATAATGTATTGCACTTAATATTTTGGAGATTCGAGGCATCGGCGTTAATTTAACCTTGTTATTTTATATTATTATATTAGATATGATTTTATATTTATAATTAACTCTTAAAATATGGTGGAATATCTCTCTTATCTTTATTTCTTAGAGTGGCACTTTAACCTTATTATTATTTTATTTATTTATTATTTATTATTTTTTTTTATTTTCCTTTATTGCTCAATTTTGCAGATACTTATCTCTCAATATCTTCCCTTTTACTGCATGCTTTTTTCCTCACACAGAAATCAGCCAATGGGGAAAAAGCATTCCTACAATTGTGAGAATCTGAGTATCTGTCAAACATCCCAATTGTGAGAATCTGAGTATCTTTCACCAGATTGTGTGGTAAAGGATCTTTTCTATTTTTTTTATTTTATTTACCAAAATAAATAAAGTAAATAAATAAATTCAACCTTTTTTATTTTTAATTTTTTATTACAAGTCCTTCAAACAGCAATTTTTCAGGTGGTGCCATTCCTTTTAGTCAATGGTTGAGGGAATATTGGTTAAAAATGGTAAATTGGGATTATTAATATTCTTATTTTGACTAATCTTGAATATATCTTGTTATTTATCATTAAAAGTTGGCCATTGATTTAATTGAGATTTGATAAGATAACATTATATGCTTTTCATTTCTCTTATCTTGTTAATCTCCTTTTTGCTCTAAAGATACGTCAACGATACGTGGTTGATTTAGAAGGACAGATTTGTAAAATGCTCGACTAGCAATGTACTTCAATTTGATAACACGACGACTAACACGTATACAATAGGAATTTTTTTTATTTGATTGTTGGTTGAAGAAACATGGTGGAGAGTGCACATCGTGCATCAAAGAGATTGTTGAAATCATCGACTGGGGCTATTGATAGTATACAAAATCATGTTGATGCGCAAGTCCACCTTCAAATTAATTAGTTGAAGGTGAAAAACGAGAGAAGCAGATCAATCATAATCCACGGTACTTCATATACGTATGTTAGTGCTTTTGAGATGTAACATATCACTGTCACATTGGACCTATTGGATGAAGAGTTGGAGAAACTACAAAAGAATGCGAACAATTGTAACTGCTAGCATAGTAAAACTCGTGGGCTCCCGAATTATTCGCCCGCTTTTACACGAACTCGTTTTTATCTACAAAATCGATTAGAAAATAATTAAATTCAAGTGTTCGTGTGGTTCCATTCGAGTTTCGACGCTACCAAATTCCAACTCCAAACAAAGAAGTAATAATATCATAATTAGATTGCATAATAGGATGAGAAAAAAATGGTTAGCATCATAAAAATTGCTTTTATTTCAAGAAATTTATTTTGGAGAAGTTTCGGGCCTTGACCATCTTTTATGGGCCTAGGCCCAAATGCAATTGGAAAATAATTGTAAAACTAGCGCAAATCATGGGGAGGTAAAACTAATTAAACGTTTTCTAACGGACCCCGTTGCAAAAAATAAAAATAAAGAAAAAACAAAGCCAAAAGAAGAGAGAGAAAGAGAGAGAGAGGAGAGAGAGTGGGGTACAAGGTAGAGTCACCTGTAACGAAAAATCTCATCGTTCTTCCATTCTGGCATCAAAATCAACAGTCTAAAGAGATCCATTTCACTCGTCAAGATCCATTTTTTCTTTAGGTACTGATTGAATTGGGTAATTGAATAGTTGGTTTCGAGGAAATTGGAATCGGAAAATGGCGCCACCAGCTCAATCTCAGCGATCCCCTTCTCCTTCTCAGCCCTCCGGGTACTTATCCAATTCTATACTATCGCATTACCTATGTTTTTTTATGTATGTATGATTCTTTGTTCGTTTAATCGCTTGTCTATGATTTGTGCGATGAATTTGAAGTGGGGAGTGTTTGTTGTAAGGGTTTGCAATTAAATTGCCTAGTATTGATCGTAGCAGAATCGCAAACGAACACGTATTGTCGATCGAGTTTGTTGTGTATCTGTGATTTTTTCTAAAGTAAAATATGATCTGGACATAAGAGTCTATGTGTGAAGTCTCTAATGTACTGAGTATTGATTTTCGAGACCTACTATTTGTTTAATGCATAATTACGCCCAATTTCACTGTTCGTTATTGTTCGTCTGTGTATATATTTCCATAATCGTGACCAGTGAATCGTGAACCATCGGGTGACAATTGCAAAATGGGTTGTCTTAGTAGATGATTAATTTATGTTTGCATGTCACCCGTACGCCTTTTGTAGTAAACCTAGCCGATTTTCCTTTCCACTTTCTCGTTTCCAGACTAAGCAAAATCCGAACAGTTCTAATTATTGAAACTCTAAACCTTGTCTTGGTTTCATCAGAAAAGGAGAGGTTTCCGATCTCAAAATACAGCTCCGCCAGCTGGCAGGTAGCCGAGCACCTGGCACTGACGACACGAAGAGAGATCTTTTCAAGAAGGTCATCTCTTACATGACTATTGGAATCGACGTATCGTCAGTTTTCAGTGAAATGGTGATGTGCTCTGCCACCTCAGACATTGTGCTTAAAAAGATGTGTTATTTGTACGTGGGCAATTACGCAAAGCACAATCCAGATCTTGCCCTCTTGACTATCAACTTCCTTCAGAGAGACTGTAAGGATGAAGATCCAATGATCAGGGGTTTGGCTTTAAGGAGTTTGTGTTCGCTCGGTGTGGCGAATTTGGTAGAGTATTTGGTGGGGCCGTTAAATAGTGGGTTAAAAGATGGGAATAGCTATGTGAGAATGGTTGCAGCTGTCGGGGTTCTCAAACTATACCATATCTCGGTTTCGACGTGTTTGGATGCTGATTTTCCGGACCTGCTCAAGCAGTTAATGCTCAAAGACAAAGATGCCCAGGTTAGTCCATTTATGCTATACATATATGCTTCGTTCAGTAAGTCTGTTTCTTAATCATGGACGGTGATTCTAATCTTCAAGAGGGCCGTTTTTTACTTTTCGGTACGGGATTTAGAGATATTGACGAGTTGTAGGTTTGTATGTAGGATATGTATTTTTAATACAATTTATATCATGTGTAGTATGTGGTATTGAAGTGTTGTTTGACAAAAAATGTCCTCGTCACTTTTGATACATGTAGTCCACTCTGTCATTTTTGAAAAATAATTAGCAAACATTGTATTTACCAAAAAAAGAAAAGTTACTCTTATCAAAACAAAATCGTACCCAATTATCATCTGAGTTTAACGATTTGTTTAAACAGGTCGTTGCAAATTGCTTAACATCTCTACAAGAGATATGGAGCCTGGAAGCAAGTAAATCTGAGGAAGCAGCGAGGGACAGAGAATCATTGCTTAGCAAGCCAATTGTATATTACTTTTTAAATAGGTATATTCATAGGCCCGGTCTGAATATTTTTTTATTACTAGCTGCAAGGTCATCCATATTCTCCATTGTTTAGTGTGAGGCAATTAGCGACTTATTTATGTTTTTAGGGGTCGTCGAGATAATTGTAATTCATTATCTACTTTCACATACAGATAAACAAGCACAATGACACATGCATTGATACAATTATATTTTTCTCAATATTTCGCTTGATGAATGCAGGATTAAAGAATTCAACGAATGGGCTCAATGTATTGTTTTAGAGCTGGTTTCTAAATATGTTCCTACAGATAGTGAGGAGATCTTCGACATCATGAATCTTCTTGAAGACAGACTTCATCATGCAAATGGTGCAGTTGTATTGGCAACTATTAAGGTGTTTTTACATATGACCTTGTCCATGGCTGATGTTCATCAACAGGTATTTCATATTTTCATCTAATCGTCTTTTGTTTTATAATTAATGATAGCATAAACATCAATTTATGTTTCCGATTGAACTCAGCACAAATTTTAATTACCAATTTCAGTAGCAAAGGTCTATCGACAGGCACATTGGTTTTACCAATAGTTCTTCATATCTGGATTAAAATAAATTTTCACAAAATCTCTCCAGGTTTACGAACGAATTAAAGCTCCTTTGCTCACTTTGGTAAGCTCGGGAAGTTCTGAGCAGTCATATGCAGTACTAAGCCACCTTCATCTACTTGTGATGCGTGCACCGTTTATATTCTCTTCGGACTATAAGCACTTTTACTGCCAGTATAATGAACCGTTTTACGTCAAGAAATTGAAACTTGAGATGTTGACTTCCGTAGCAAACGAGAGCAATACATATGAGATAGGTCAGTTTCATTCTATAACTTTTGCCCACCTTTTCTAACTAATTACTGATGCCCGTTTATTTTTTTTTTGGATCTATTACAGTGACTGAACTTTGTGAGTACGTTGCAAACGTTGATATTCCGATGGCGAGAGAATCGATTCGAGCTGTTGGTAAGATTGCATTGCAACAGTATGATGTAAATGCCATTGTTGATCGATTGCTTCAGTTTTTGGAAATGGAAAAAGAACATGTGACTGCAGAAACTCTTGTACGTAATTTTTCTCTCTCTAATCCTAGACTATGTGAATTTGTCAATCACATATTTATTTTGTCCCGTTTCATAAAGCTGTACTATTTATCTAGGTGCTTGTAAAAGATCTTCTTAGGAAATATCCTCAGTGGAGTCATGACTGCATAGCGGTTGTTGGGAATATCAGTAGCAAAAATGTTCAGGAACCGAGAGCCAAGGCAGCTCTTATTTGGATGTTAGGGGAATATGCTCAAGATATGCAGGACAGTCCGTACATTCTAGAAAGTCTTATCGAGAACTGGGAAGAGGAGCACTCTGCAGAGGTAATTAAATGCTATTATCAAAATGGTATCACCAAATTTTCTTGTGTTAGTAACCACATTTATCTTACTACAATATGAGACGGAGCTGAAAATTTCATGTTTGTTTCTTGCTAGTATGGAATCAATAGTCTCATAGGGTTTTAAGAAGAATCGAACAAATTCTTAAATCATTTTTCCGGAAGCTTCTTAGGGAGATCTTGTCTGAAATCTCTATGTGCTATAAAAGCTCTTTTAATATTATGAAGAAGAGCATATACATGTTTATTTACTTTTTAGAATGAAAGTTAAAAAGTATAAATGGTAGTATTAAATCTCGAGCAATTGTTTGATATGATGTACAGGTCCGTTTACATCTTCTTACAGCAGTAATAAAGTGTTTCTTTAGAAGACCACCAGAGACTCAAAAAGCTCTAGGAGCTGCTCTAGCTGCTGGTCTTGCCGATTTTCATCAGGTTCGATTGCCATTATACTTGAATACGGTTTTATCTATTTTAATGCTAAAATTATTGCTGAACTTTCATTTCATTTCATCGCAGGATGTTCATGATAGGGCCTTATTCTACTACAGGCTTCTAACGTACGACATTTCTGTAGCAGAAAAAATTGTAAACCCTCCAAAACAAGCTGTTTCAGTCTTCGCCGACACGCAAAGCAGTGAAATGAAAGATCGCATATTCGACGAATTCAACAGCCTCTCTGTCGTGTACCAAAAGGTACGTCAACTTTCCTACTTAAATATCTAAATACTGAAATGTAATTTACGAAGGAAACAAGGGTTTTTTAAGTCTTTAACCAATCAGGGCATTTTTTTTTTGCAGCCATCGTATATGTTTACTGATAAAGAACACAGGGGCCCGTTTGCTTTCTCGGAAGAACTTGGTAATCTGTCTATCGATACAGAACCTGCAGATAATGATGCAGTTTCTGCACCGAGAATCGAGGCTAATGATAAGGAGTTACTATTGAGTACTTCCGAAAAGGAAGAAATTCTGGGTTATGGTACAAATGGTTCTGCATATAATGCTCCGTCTTATAATTCCGCTACAACGACAGGTGGTTCACAGGGACACTTAGACCTTGTGTCACTGGACCAACCATCTACAGCATTTACGAATGCCAGCTCAGCAATGGATGAACTGTTCGGTCTTGGAATGCCAGCTGTACCTGGTTCAGTATTGCTGCTCAATGCTAAAGCTACTATTGAATCTAATGCTTTTCAGCAGAAATGGCGTCAACTGCCAGTATCTTTATCCCAGGTTTATAAGACTTTTTAACTTGGTTAATACGCTTGTTACTATTGTCTATATATCAATTGTTGGATGTGTTACACACTTGATATAATATCTCATTAAAATTCCATTCCATTTTTTTTTAATATACAGGATATCTCGATAGATCCACGAGGAGTTGCAGCAATGACGAATCCAAAGGCCCTCGCTCAGCACATGCAAAACTATTCAATGCATTGCGTAGCTTCGGGTGGTCAAGCACCAAATTTCAAGTTCTTTTTATTTGCACAAAAAGCAGAGGAACCTTCGGCTTATCTGGTTGAGTGTGTTATTAACTCGTCTTCGTGTAAAGTTCAGTTAAAGATCAAAGCTGATGACCAGAGTACCTCCCAGGCATTCTCCGACTTGTTCCAAGCGGCTTTGTCCAAATTCGGTTTGTCTTGAGCGAATATTCAAATTTGATATATTTTTTTTTCTTTTTTGTAAGGAGAGTTTTTGTATCATTTAATCTGATGTGTGCAATAGGAGCTGAAAAGGCTCATTATGTTGTTTGTCTGTTCAGCTTCCTCCTGTCGATGAGTTTTACGACTTATTAACTTTATATATTTCTTAATTTTGAAATGAAGAGATTGTAATAAGGTGTTATTTTTTCTTGAACACGCAGTCATCAATCCTACCTGCTCTGTTTCTCCTTCACTTTTCTTTTGAGAAATCGAGTTCTCGGAATTTTGATCTAAAAAGTTATAGCACTAACCAAAAAACAAAAGGGCATAAGACCAAACCATAAACAACAAAATGAGGCCTAAATTGACAATTTCCAAGCCTGCTACATTGAGTCAACTCAAAAACTGAATTCGAAATTTCACTTCCACAAGAGTGAGTAGTACTCTACATGTAAGGCAATTTCATGAATTGGCCTCAATTCTGCACTTTTGGTGGTCTATTTAAGAGAAGAAACAACGTACAACTGATTCACAACTAAATCTCATCTTCTATGTGTTTTTTTAGTGCCGATAGAATTGTAACTGAATAATGTTTGATTACTGGTTTACCAGAAAAATACTTTTTGCTCTCAAATAGAAACAATTAAGAACGGCGAAAAAATCAAGTCTTGTCCTTTACTTCTTCGAAGGGAGTATAGTTTTGAACCACTGCTTCCAAGGGGCATCTTCTTGCTGCTCGATCCAAGAAAGAAAGCAGCTATCCAACAAACAGAACAAGTTGACGTAAAGAAGTTGATATTGAACTGGAACAAATCGGAAGTTTGCCACCTGGACAATCGGCCATATGCCTCCCTCCAGAATTAACGCTGGGAGAAAATCTCTCTTGACATCTTCCTTAACTTGTGCAGAAGTTTTCCCGGAAGCAAAGCCCATGTAAGTGAAGAACACCAGTAGATCCAAGGGGCCAAATATTATACCATCAGCTGCTACTTTTGAAGCCACAAAACGGAATGAATTTTGCTGTAGCTTTAGCCGAACCTTAATGATTCGGTCCAGCCCTTGATACCTGAGAGAGAAAGGGATAAACCCCCTCAGCATTTGCAATTGATTGAAAACAAAAAAATGTAACTGTAAAGCTAAAAATCTGAAACTCTTTATAGGTAAATTAGTCTCGTATACTGGTAAAATACATACCTCATCAAGTAATGCGAATACGAAACACAGACATATAATTGACAGTTTTTTAATGTTTGGTCTTAAAATGCTGCTGCTACTAAACAAAAAGGGCACTATCCATTACCTCAACACTAGAATCAATGTGAGTGCAAACAATTTTAACCAATATTTTTTCTAGTCACAATTACGATGTAAGCTAGTGGGCAGGGTAAGAAATTCTAAACCAATCGAATCATATAGGTGTCACGCGTTTTTCACATACTTCAAGATGTGTAAATTGAGACATACAAGAGCATCGTCCAAAATAGAAAGTTCAACCCAAGCATTACGAAAACATCCGGATGGAAAGATTGCACGATGTAATGCCCACAGGGTGTGCAGAGCAGTGCACATTATAATGGTAAGACGGAAGATAAGAACCCATATTTTTGCATGAAATTATCCAGTGTAGAAAAAGAATCTAAAACCGATTAACAGACCAGAAAAAAATATTAATGGCAAAGTATAATTTATATTCTTCTGAGATAAGCAGAAACCTGGAAAATGCCATATTAAGAGTAATTGACAAAGGAAAACTTACCAGAAGTGGCCAACAGGACCAACAAATCCAAGCCCAAACAAAGCCGTGCAACCAACTCGTCTCCAATTGATTTTTAGTTCTTCATCTTTATCTTTATTTTTATCCTGCGGGCGACATCAGGGTTACCATTGTTCAGTGAAGAATCAGGAGGTGAAAATTAACAACATATGAACAAGAAACAGATAAAATCAAGATTCCCGAAGTTCATTCCATCGATAATATTTGACAAAGAAAGGAGAAAGAGTAGGTTCATTCTTGAACACAAATATTTGTAAATCCTCTCGATGTCAACATTGTACAAGATTTTATGCTGAGAAGCGACTTAAATCTCGATCAAGCGGCACTAATGTGTTATTTTACTAATTATATGGGGACTATAATAATAGCACAGCAAAAAAAATTATCCACTAATCTACACGAAATATATACCAAGTCACTAATGCAAAACATCTCTTTAATGCATGCCCTCGATCCATGGATGCCGCTCATACGATAGCAAGAAGATCATTACATAACAAGTAGTACACGGTATAAAAGATCATTCAAATAGAGATTCACATTACTTCACAAATGTAGAGATGCCACCTGACAATATAATTCAATTCATACACAAAGCCTCGACCACAATAAACTCCAACGAAACTTAAAACACAAGAAGAACTTTCTTAACTACGATTTCTTGAGAATCGAGTGTATAGAACATAATGTATGCAGTGTATGGAAGTGTTCTTAGTATCTACGACATTTCATAATCCAAGTTTGAACAAATCCAACAAACAAGGCGCGTGTGATATGCAAACAATCTACAAATAGGACAAATGCAAGTAAGGTACCTAAACGTAGCATTGCCCGAATCATCAAATAAAATCGAATCCACGCCATACTTTCGTATTACTCAATTTCATAAGACAATCATATTTTTTTCTACAACCGACACACTCGAAAAAAGGCCAGCCAGAAAAAAAGGATCGAAATACAAGAATACGAAGGCACCAATTCAATCAAACTTAACACACGTTCAAAAAAAAAAAAAACCCCAATCCAAATAGAACAAAACAAACAAACGCACATTCAAATCATCAGAAAAAAAAAACACCAAAAAGAAAAACAAGGATTACTGACAGTGATTTGGAGGTGGAGAGGTTTGGCGGTGTAGTGAGTAACGGTTTGAGCGGCGATATCGCCGAAACCCCAAATGAATCCGGAGCTAATCACCTGGGTTTTAACTGGGTGTGTTGATAAGCAATTCTGGTACCACTTCCACAGCCGCAACATGCTGTACGCTAGGGTTTGTATTATGAATTTATAATCCACTGTTCTTGTACTCTCTGTAAACGGTTATACTTGTATGTATATGTATGTATTCTTTGTTGCAGCAGAAAATTCAGAGAGAGAACAATGGCTCGTGTTCTCTTTGTTTTCGCTCTCTCTCTCTCTCTCTAAGTTTTATCTGCTTCTAGGTTTTTTCTCTCTCTCTCTCTCTAAATATCTTTTTCTCTCTCCTCGTTTAAATAATAAATAAATAAATAACAATCCTACTAATAGTCCAATTACATAATTTATTTACTTGCTAATTAAAATACTAATTGTAATGGCATTCTATTTCTATCTAATAATAAAAACAACAAAATAAAAACCGAATTTTAAAATTGGGGAAAAGTAAAAGCTTGTCCACGTACTTATAATTAATTTGAGTAGAAAGTAATATATATATATATACATATAAATAATTTTAAGAATAAAAGATAAGAAGAAAAGTATAGAATATATGAAACCATTTATTGCACTAATTGTAATAATGTCAAATTAATATTGATATGAAATATATATATATAGGTACTTACATAATCTTTTCCAACCTTTAAAAAAAATTAAGACAATCCAATTTATTATTTAATTTTTTTTCCTCTTCTAAAATTAAAATTAGGAAAACTCGCGAACCACCTCGGGAGTTCATAAACCACTAAAATCGAGCTTAAGTTCAAAATTTTGTTGAGCCCAACTTTTCACACTCGTGAGTAGACTCGACTCGTTTACCCCATAAATTAAATGCGAATAAATAATCAGAAAAAAAAAAGGGAAATATCCATAAAGATTATATATACATATTTTAGGGTGTATTTTTCACTTATTTTCAGCCTCACATTACACTCCTCTTATCTCCTACATATGTAAATATATTAGTATTTTTTTTTCAATTTACAGATGCCATTGATAAACATGTGGATAAGAATTTTCAGTATAAAATCATAAAATCAGCTTCCGCTAATTCAGTTGCACATTCGTCTTCACTGCGAAATTCAAACAGGTAACGTTACGTAATTTTTTTCTGTAATTAATTATTGGGGCGATTGTTTATCAGTGTGTTTTTCTTGGTAGATTATATTTCAATTATTGATGATGGCCTTTTTTTTTTTTTTTTAAATTTAATAATGCTAAAGTATATTAATTAGGATATGAGCATGAGCAAAGTGTTCTGAGTTCTATGTTTGGATTATGCTGCTGCTGCTTTTTTTTTTTTTTTTTTTTAAATGGTGTTATCATTTGCTATTATAGTGTTTAGAAGATCTAAAGATTAACCTGTGTGAAGATTCTCGATTACTCGATTGAATTGGTTAGATGATTTTTTTCGTGAATTTCTACGAATATTAGCTCGGATTGGAATAAAATTGTGAGTAACCCATCCCACTTATCGGCCTTCAAAGTGAAAACAATATTTGTTAGTAATTTGCTTGCAAATCGTTTTCGGAGGTAGATTGAAAAACATGTTGAAGTTTCACTCCCCGTATACATATTCTATATGTGAATTGAATTTAGCTAAGCTAAGTTGTGTGCACTTTAACCATGTGCGTTATGTTTAGAGATTTAACGAGTGTATCTTTAGTTGAATTGATCACCATTTCGTTGTATGTGACTAATGGTTTATGTCCTTTTGATTGGCAATTAGTCAATCTTCAATATGGATTCATACTCTCGTATTGTTACCGAAAATTTCTTATTTTCTTGATATTTCGTATGATGCCGTCATATACTTACATATAGTGTCCACTCTGATTTGCAGATTGTGATTACATAGTTTCTATTAACTTATCGGAGAGAAACTTGCACGCTGCTGTAAATTTTGTATATTTCTAACGAAGGAATTTAAATCGCCTAATTATTAATAGCACGCATGGGGTACCTAGAGGAGTTCGATAAAGAGTCGGCCAATTCTGAAATAAACTGCAAAAACCAAGATGATCCTATCATGGTAACGATTTTTTTTTTTTTTTTGCAAAATTGTTGAAGTGTCGATGAATTCTCTCAACTGTCTACCAAATAAATCACATGCTTTCTTGCTGCAGAAAAGGTCTCCCGATGAAAAGATTAATTTTAATCCACCGTCAGAATCTCCTCTCTGCACTTTCTGCACGAGCGACGAGAGCTGTAAAATCGTTCGATCCAGAACGAAGCTAATGAACATTCTTGTAGAAAAAGGGAAGCACCAAGAAGCTCAATCGGTTTTCAACGATTTGATTCGACGAGGGCATAAGCCCTCTCTCGTAACATACACGACACTCTTAGCTTCATTGACCGTTCAAAACGCTTCGAACACACACACTCGATAATCTCTCAAGTCCACAAAAACGGGATGGAGCCCGATTCGGTTTTCTTCAATGCTGTGGTGAATGCATTTTCCGAATGTGGAGATATGGAGGGAGCAATGAAGATGTTTTCGAAGATGAAAGAATATGGAATGAAGCCCACAATTAGCACTTTCAATACGTTGATTAAGGGATATGGGATTGCAGGAAAACCCGAAGAATCGTTAAAGATAATGGAGATAATGTCTATGGAGGAGAATGTAAAACCGAATCTTAGGACATATAATGTTCTTGTGAGGGCGTGGTGTAATAAAAAGAACATAAACGAGGCTTGGGGCATTGTGCATAAGATGGTGGCTTCGGATATAAAACCGGATGCTATTACTTACAACACGCTGGTGACTGCTTATGTTCAGAATGGGAAAACGGAAGAGGCTGAAAATGTGATTTTGGAGATGCGGAAAAATAACGTGCAGCCGAATGAAAGAACGTGTGGGATGATAATTGCTGGATATTGTAAAGAAGGTAGAATAAGGGATGCGTTGCGATTTGCTTACAAGATGAAGGAATTTGGTTTGAGGCCTAATCTTGTCGTGTTCAACTCGTTGATTAAAGGATTTCTTGATGTTTCGGACAGAAACAGTGTTGATGAGGTAAATTATTTTTCTGTCCTACATTTTGCATATAGTTTTATATTGTCACACTCGAACAACCTTTTGATTGTGGTTTTATTGGTTAATAGGATCGTTATATCGAACATCTCTAGCTAAATACTTAGTTGCACAAAAAGAAGCGGATAAAATAGGAAGATATTGAAAGTTGTTCGATTTATCGAGTAGTCTTGTAAATGTTATTTTTAATTGGTTCTTGTGTTCAAAATTAACATTATTACTTGTAAAAACTCGAAGCACATGCAACGAAATAATATATTATTTTGAGGAAAGAAAAGAAAAAAGAAGTGTAGTTACTAATCACTCTGTGTTTTCAAAATGGTGATAGCCATATCTGCATTAGTGATCTCTACATTTATAAACTAAATAGTTATTTTCTTCCATTTATCAGTAATTGATTCCAAATAATAGCAATGCAAATTCCGATGCCTACCCACATTGAGAAATTCGAAATCCCTTTATCTGTAAAAAAAAAATCAATATAAAATTACACGCACACGTGCGCTCACACTCACAATCACTTACAAAAAGAAAAAAAATAGACTGATGCAACTTTTCGAGTTGATAGGTTCTAACATTGATGGAAGAATCGGGAGTAAAACCAGACGTGATCACGTTCAGCACAATCATGAATGCATGGAGTGCCGCAGGCTACATGATAAAATGTCAAGAGATATTCGACGACATGGTCAAATCCGGAATTAAACCAGACATCCACGCGTACAGCATCCTGGCCAAAGGATACATACGTGTCCAAGAACCAGAAAAGGCCGAAGAAATCTTATCCGCCATGCAAAAAAGATCCGATCTTTACCCTAACGTAGTCATCTTCACCACCGTTATCAGTGGATACTGCAGCATTGGCTCGATGACATCAGCGATGAGGGTTTTCGGGAAAATGATCGAATATGGAATATCCCCAAATTTAAGGACCTTTGAAACCCTAATCGAGGGATATGCCGAAGCTAAGAAGCCATGGAAAGCCGAAGAAATAGTACAGCTCATGGAAGGGTTCGATGTTAGGCCTGAGAAGAGCACGTTTTTGCTGGTTAAGGAAGCTTGGAGAGCCGTAGGATTGACTCAAGAAACACGAGAAGAGGGTTTGGAGAAATTTTCGTCCTTTTCGAGATTGCAGATACCTAATGTGGTTTTGAGTGAGCAGAAGAGGAATAATAATCGAACGGTGTTGAGAGAAGCTGCCGAGTCGTCGTTTGCTTGTCGGTTTGGAGAGCGGGCCCCGGTGGTTAGCCGGAGGAATTTTCGGGGGTGGATATCTTGTCAGGTTGGATCCTTTTGTACAGTACTCTATTGAAGTTTAAATTTAAAAAAAAAAAAAACAAAAAAAAAAGAAGAAGAAGAAGAAAAAAGTGATTTTGTTGTACATAGGGAAAAAGGGGGAAGTGTCAAGTTGTGTAAGTTGATTATGTTACTTATTCCACCACCACGTATTTAATTTCTTTTTTCATGTGCAGCTGCAAAAAAACTTATGTATGAGATAAAGCTTATATTCCACTCAGTACTTGGTTAAGAATGATGAGCTTGCATAGTAATATCCTGTTTGGCTAAGTTTATTTAATCAGTTGATAATGTTATATCTGATAAGTTGTTTTAAGCGCTGATAAGTTGTTTTAAGAGCTGATAAGTAATTACGACTTAGTGGGATGAGCTCCATAGTTGTTTGACTTGGCCGCATTGAATCAAATTATTAAAGGTTTATTGCAATTAGTACCTGGTGTTATATTGAATTATTAAAAGACTACCTCATGGTATTTTATTGGCAAAAAACCCCTAAATAGGATACTAATTGCTAAAATAGATTAGATATAAGGTGGTTATTTTAACAATTCGATATAACACAAGGGTACTAATTGCAAAAAAACTACCGTGTCATATTAAGCAACTAAACTCGATTACAAACTGAAAAACATAGCGAATCAAACATCCCTTGATAATTGATAAATTGTTCGTATAATTATCCGGAAACAAACAAGGAAAGTCTTATTTCAAATTAATCAGATACATTAACTCAAAACAAAACGGTCTAACACCTTTCTCTATAAATAAAAACCTAGTCTTTGCATTAGAGAGAGGCCACAAACGAGCACAACCGCATAGATGCTAAAGTCCATAAACAATGCTCTCAAAATGTTCTGCAAAAGCAAAACCGACTCAACAGATTTCCCCATTTGGCCAATCAGAAATTTTCCAATAAACGAAAGTACGCCACTACTCCTCTGTCTATTCCTTATCTCTGCTCCTTGTATTCCCAAAAAAAGACGTGCAACCACAATCGATACATTCGTCAAGAAAAGCAGATAAACTGGTCTGAAAATCAAGATGCTCCTTATACTACTGCAGCCCAGAACAGGGAATTGCATATACGAAAAGATCACTAAAATCGCAACTGCTATATTAGAATACATACGAATTTTCTCCGAAGCTGAAATTGCGTCATTAATTTTACCGCTTGTGAATGAGTTGACACGGTTCTGATCGAGTTGCTGGTTCTGCTCAGTACTTGCCATGGATGATGATATTTGAGATAGTTCTTCGTTGACCCTAAGTGGGGCTCTTGGTGGCAAAGGATCTTTTGTCTCTTCTAAGATATCACGGTGAATAGATTCTCTGCGAGATTCTTGATTTGTTAATGATGAATCGGAGACTAAATCTTTGTGTACAGCAGAATCTGCAAATATCATCAGTAAGAACAAGCAACATCAAGGAAAAGTACTAATCAAAACAAACAGTTCCTATTTTTAATTTCCGATGCAGAAACAATTGGGATGCATTAGCTAACAATTGCAAATTTGTATGATCAAATCAAACCCTTGTCGTATATAGACGAAGATCTATATTGCCTTCAAATTGCAATTAGTGCTTACAAATCAGGCAAATAATTTAATTACAAGATATATTTACTTCAAATCCAGCAACATCATCAAAAACCAGTACTCAAACACATCCTATCTGAATATAAGCATTCATAAGGGAATATCAGAAATCGGACAAAGCTCGAGTAGAATGCGATTTATAAGCAATGTTACAATAATTTTCTGAATCTAAAAGAACATGTTTTCAATAGCTTAATGCAACCATTGAACACATAAATTATGCTCTTCCAAAATTCAATCCCCTAAAAATAAAAGCAAATAACGAGCTTAAATTTACAGAAAATAAAAACAATTTATATTTGAATACTAAGCTCAAAACTACTACTTAATAGCAGAAATTTAAAAAAAAAAAATAGAACCGTACCTGCGGGTTTTTGACCGGAGAGATTCGCCGGTTTTGGGGATTCGTCGGGCTCGGAGGGCAGTGATTGGATGCGACCGGTGATAAGCGCCAAGCGGTCGGATCCCCGCTCGACGATGCGGCGGCGACGCGCTTCTCTGGTGGCGTTAATGCTCCCTCCGGTTGCTGCGACCGCCGCCATGATTTTCCGGTGACTATTACAGATTAATGGGGATTGATGGACTGATAAATTACTATACTAGATTTTGTTTGGGTTTTGGGAGAGAATTGAGAGGAGAGAAAGAGATGACCTTCGATTTACTTTTTTACTCTTCCCATTTTGTCCTTGCTACTGTTTGTTTGTTGCACTATACCCCAATTTTGTTGTGACATTCTATTGCATCTACTGAATTTCATATCTGATAAAATTATTTAGAAAAAATTAATAAATTTAAGAGTACATTACAGTCACCTTTGAGATGATGTCAAATTATGAAGAAAAAGAATCATCATCTTTGAATAATACTACTATCCCGTCGTCTATGAATCGTCTTACATGTCGGTCAATTTAACGAAATTTTCATATTCTTGTGAAATATTCTCTAATTTGTGTCCATTTTATGCAAAAAGGCAGTTTCATAATATATACAAGCCAAGAGAGACATTTTCTAATCATCTTGTGTTCAATTGGGGAGCTGGAAGGGGGTAAAATGAGCAATTTTAATAAATGTCGTCTGATTAATTCAATTTTTTCAAGGAATTAATTGAAGCCATCGAAGATACATGCGTTACTATGTGAAATTTGATTTTACACAATCGGGACTCTCCTTTTTAACGAACATAACGAATGATGATCCCAAAGATCCTAGCTTAGCATCCACAGTCCACACATGTACCGATGTTAGAGTCCATCCTTCCGACTTCCCAGCCCGATGAATCCTCTATTCTATTGGTATGCATCTCGAACTGCTGACGCTCACACTTTCTATAAGTATTTTAATTAGATTAGTTAGACAGGACTTGGGAGTTCTTGTTAGTGGGTTTCTACATTTTACATTGTAAATAGGCTGCTAGGATTTTATGAGAACCAAGCAGAAAAATATTGACTAGAGAAGTAAAGAGAGATAAAACACACTCAACATGGTGGTAAAGAAAGTGAACCCACATTAAAAAATCAGCCAATTTCTCAACCGCGTGTTACTTCGACATCCTCTAAATAAGTGTACAGAAGATCGACCCCAGAATGTAGGCGTGAGTTGTGTGGTGACGCAGTGAAGATCAGAAGTTCCATCGGTCTAATTCTTGCTTGGCTTGTTCCATGTCCTTCTGCACTTTTTTCCTCCGGTAAAATATTGGGCAATCTCGACTGATAGTATATATATAAGAAGAGCACTTGTTATTAGAACCAAGCAACCAATCTTTAATAGTAATATATCACAAATACGATCTGATCGTAAATATATGATGATATATCGGACCTGGTGCAAAGCACATCCTGAAGAAGAGAGCCTTGGCACTCCTGGCACTGCGTCCATACTCTACCAAAAAGCTCCTCCAATTCAGCAACTGAAAAAGGGAAACACGTAAATTTGTGCATGGCCACTTGACACAAATTCCAGGGACACACCATGAAGATGTAAGAAGACAGGTTTACATACCATTAGCTATCGACTTGCAATAAAGCTCAGCTTCTCTTCCTTTGCATTGCGAGCATAGAGTGTGATCGGAGTTACTGGCAGAACAGGATTACAAATGGTTAATGTTTATTTTGAGTGCTGAACAAGAGTGTCAGTGTCAACGGACATAAATCAATGCAGCACTTGAATAGAAAATAGTTCATGATGAGTTGAAATAGAACAGATGGAACACTACGGTGCTCTTTTTGTAAATGTAATATCACAACTTTAGTGAAAAAATAACCTAGATAATTATACACTCGACAAACAGTATCTATTGAGCTTGAAATGTTAGAGCTAATAACAATATCAAGACAATTGGCGTATATAAAGCATGAAAAGAAACATATAATATGTTATATTCAATATTGCCCTGAAAGAAACATATGATATGTCACGGGTGCCTGTTTCCCAGTTGCTCGTACTAAATATTGTTAATTAGACTAATGAAGAGTCACATATAATAATATCTTATTATTAATATAGTTGTACCTAATCGGAGTCTTGCATCCAATGCAACTAAGTTGCTTTCCGAAAAGCTTTGCAATGCCAATGTTGGGAGTACAATTGTTTTTTGACATCATGTGACTCCCTTGAAAGAGCTCTTTATTAGCATTCTTCAAGATGGGTTCGAAGATCCTCATCAATGGCTGCAACCATAAATTATCTAATATTAGCTAAGACGTACCGCAAGCTGTAAAACCACAAAAAAATTGCTTCACGGACCTTGCTAATTTGATTTTCGAGGTAGTACTTGTGATCTATAGGATTGTTATTTTCTAAAACGAAGATGGGATCCTCTGATCTTTCATAAGCCTGTTCACCATCCGTATATCAGGCTTTCTACATCGAGCTCTAATGAATTAACAAATAAATACAAATGAGAAGCTTACCTTGGCATTGGTTTCTGCTTTAACAATGACATATGCTACCCGATCCCCGACATTTGGAGCAGTAGCAGCATCTCTCTGTTATTCATAGTGCGTATAGAACAGATGGAATTTTAAATTGCTTGCAAATATAACAAAAGAAGTGAATATTCAATCTTCATTACAATAGAGCATTATTCAGATTCACAGAATTTAAAGTGTTCTCTAACGAACTACGAAGTTGCTTTTATTAGTCATCATGGTATTGAAAAAATTAATCGAACTAATGATACATTTCAAACCTTGCGCATTCGTTCTGCAAGCTCAACATGTGCTGCTTTCACTTTATAGCTGTCCCGTGTTTTTGTCAAAGCCTATTGAAAGGGAATGTCAGTGCAAGAGGGAAGATGTCAAATGGAACTAGCAAACGTGCATGACACATTAAGCGCTTAGAAAGCAGAGGAAAATGTCCAAGTATTGCAGGAGTGTATTATGATACCTTGGTGATTACTAAAAGGGATAAATCCATGCGATTCCTAAGGAGATCTGATATTGTGTTCTTGACATATTGAACTGCAGCAGGAATATCCCTCTCTATCAATATTTTATTGAGGCACTCGGTCACCATGTTTTTTACCAGCAAGCAGTTATCTCTACGAACGGTTTCAATCCCTGGCAAAGGAAAAATAAAACGACTGCGTCAAAGTACATCCTAGACCTCAATCCTATAATTATTCGGAGAAACCAATATCTAGAAAAGGATAGTGATTATTTTGGTTATCGTAACATGAAATAGTTTACTAATTACGTGAATATTTAAATGATTTTTTGGTACCAAAGGTGTGGTGAAATATTTAATTGTTTCGCAAAATTTCAAGACAGAAGTAAACGTGCAGCTTGACTCACCTTTGGTCTCCATCTTATCAAATTTCTGCGGGTTCGTCCAGTAAAGACCAGCATACCTCTTCTTACTAATTAGTAGATATGGATAGTAGACCTTCTCAAACTCCAGTTTTATGGGCTGCCAACGGAAGATGGCCATGGTAATGTGCACAAGAAATAATGAGATTGAGGGAAGAAGAATGCGGCGAGGGGCAAAAGGGGAGAGGGGGGATTTAGAAATATGGAGAAAGTATAAATACATGAACATTAAGTAACAAGATTGACACGGAATACGGAAAAGGGAGCATAATAACTTACATTGATGAAGGTGCTGCTAATATAATCAGCAGCTTCCCTGCCCAATTTCATGGCCGCATCCACTGAGGAAACACCAAACTGCACCATTACTGAATCTGTATCTCCGTATATGACCTGACATAAGAATATAAGTAATTACAAAACTATCATGACCTAAAGGATACATACTACGAGGAAGTAATAAAAAACATACTACGAGGAAATAATAAAAGAATAAAAATTTGATGCACAGAATATAACATTATAGCAAGTGCCTATTTCAATAAAGCATGTTTCATCAAGCAAATAAATGCGTCGTCAAGAGAATAGTTATTGGTAGTATACCTCAGCATTGTGCTCGTAACCTCCGAGCACTGTGAATTTATCTTCCACGAGTCTTTTCGTGTGTTCAATCATTTGTCGACCTTCAAATATGGATTAATCATTAAAATAAATGACATTTGCAGAATCGCATCAAATTTATTTATTGGGTAACAAAGTTCAAGTCATGCAGCCATTTGATTACCATAGCTGGTAACACTTGAAGATATCTCTAAACAAGGTAACTGGCCAACCGTAGCTCCAGTAAACCCATAGACGGAATTTGCAGATATCTGTAAGAACCATGAGAAAACAGATAATCCAACAAGTCAAGTTAGTTAACATCAAGCCAAATACAGTAGTCGGCATACAATCATATAAAATAAAAATACAAAATAAAAAGGATAAAAATGATAATCCTTACCTTCAAAGCAAGTTGCCTACCATCTAACACAGCTCTTTCAAGAGGATCCTTTGCTTCCTAAAATTTGAATTCATACAGGTAAAACACTATTAGAAGTTTTTCTTCAACACAGAGTAACAAATTTATATTTCAATGTAGATTGCATTACTATTTAAGTACGACGAAACTCAAACTTTGGACATTGTGAACAAATCCACCAGATATCGTAGTCCAAACGAAATAATCAATCCCATAAAGAAAACTTTTGACAATCATTGACCAGTCTAATGTACAGTTCCATCTAGACGAACATGATCTTGTGCATTATTAGCTACCAGATACATAAGTGTTCTTTATATTCAGGATAATTTACACCCAAAAAACAATTTAATGGTGAAGTAGTATCAACACTTCAGAACCTTTATTTCAAAGGACTAGAAATTCACAAAAAAAAAAAAGTATTTATATATTTATAGAAATTAATTTGAGAACCTTCAAATCCGCTTTGGCCCTTCTACGAGCTGCCAAAAGTTCTTCAAGAATTTCTGGTAGTATTCCCTGAAGTGAAACAGTAGTAAGAGAAGGCAAAAAATGGAACTTGTGCATAACTAGACCCCCATCTTTTGCTACACCAAAAAATGATGACAATTGACAATAAACAACCTACATGAATGCTATAAATTTAACCTTTTGTAAATTTGATCTGACAAAAGTTTCACCAGTTGGAGTTTTGTTGACACACTCCGGAGGCAAATTAAGCTTCCGGGCATCTTCGGGATTTACCTACGCAATAATAATGACAAAATAGTAAATAACATCTGGAGTAAACAATACCCGTCTCAAGGGAGATGGCTAATTAGATTTTTCCTTAATTCTTCTGCTTGAAATTAAACATAACCTTTCACGCAGAATAGCCAAAGACAAAAAAAATGAAGGACTAACAAGAAAATACTTTTACCAGTGTAGAATAGCACAAGTTATATGCCATCATAATTGATGGATATAAAGATGCAAAATCCAGAGTTGCAATAGGCTTCTCATAGAAACCTGTTCTGGCTTCAAGAACCTGCATATGAGAAAACAATTTATTTCCTGTCCAACAACGTGCTACAGACCATTTACAGGGAATAAATTAATATATATATGTGTGTGCATATACACTACCAACATACAGTTAACAGAAAAGAAACAATGGGTGACTATTTCTTGTACGAAAGATGAACACTTACAGTTGCACCCTCGAAAGTTCCCTGTTCAGATCCAGCTTGTTTCACATTTGGAAGAATTAGATTCTTTTGTTTTGCTTTCCTTAGAAGCTGAGACATCACCTGAAGATAAAGGTAAGAATTAGATATGCAGTTGATAATCTTCCGACCTACTCCTTTTAACTACTCAAGCTGTAAAGCTAAGGAGCAACCTTGATGCTTTGTCCCCTCGAGAGTAGAAATGAGAGCGGAACACCAGTCACACGAGCCATCTCAACATAGTTATAAATGAACATCAACTTGTCCAAAAGGCGTTGTGGTAGGTACGCATCCTACAATAATTTAACAATGAAACCGAGTTTTCCTAGTAAGACTAACATTTCTTATTTAAACATGTTGAAACACAGAATTCCTAAAACGTGGAGATGCTTATACTAGGTTCAATGATGCTCGTACATGATCGATGCTCGGACAAAAAACAATTGTATCTATCAATAAGGTGGTATTGTTTGTCGGACTAATATTCTTCATTGAATCTTTGTTGTTGTGATTGTGAATGAGACATCACATCAGTGCTCGTATAATGCATTTAGTAGTATAATATTAGTGCATGAACCAGTGATAGACCTAATGTCGAAAGCTTGTGGAGTTCCTATGATCCGATGCTCATACAATTGGTAAAACTTGTAAAGGGAGAAATTGCAGGTTGTCCTTAATTTGATAATAGATCTAGCATACCTGGAGAGAGAATACAATTTACATCCCTACAATTCAATCTCAATATTCTTAACTTAAACATGCGTTTTTTGTTTATTTTGAGTGCGAGGAAGAGGACAGTTAATATATTGGAAGGAGGCGTTTTATAGACATGGCATCTAAACCTTTTCTTTGACAGTCTAAGTATAATGAATAAGGGCATTTGCTACAAGGAAGAAAATGGAAATGCAAAAACCAGGAGGAAAATAAAATTACCACAATAGGGAACCGCTTTAAGCATACAAATGCACAGGCTAATTAAATTTTATGTTGTGAACGATAAAATAAAAATGAGACGCATAAGAGGCTACATGTCACAAGAAATATAGTCCAGATATACTTAAGCTGAGGAATATGATTCACCTTCAAACAATAGACAGCAAGACGCTTTCTGGTTTCTGAATTCCCATTGTGAAGGTCGGATATAATTGAATGGTGCACATCCTCTTTCTGAAAATGTATTAAACGGTTTAAATTAGAAACACCAAGTCAGTGTAATAATTAAAAACAAAATCAAGGGGAAATTGAACATTAGGCGACATAGCTAAGTAAAATGATATCATAATTTCAAAGGTATTGTCAAGATTTAGTTTCTGGAAGTGTACAATCCGGGATCCAAACTACTGGAAGATAACAGCAGAATTGTACAACTTAATTAAGAAAGTGCCAAAACATATCCAGTTTGCTACCAATGCTCCAGATTGTTGTCAGTTGCAAATTGCAATTCATGTAAACCATTCGTAGGTTACTTAATTTTATTGAGCAATTTTGCATGCGTCCACCATAAGAATCTACTCAGTTAAACTAAGATCAAAGTCTTCTCTCCTAAAAGCAACATTTGGTAAACCACCGTGTAACATATATTCAAATACATAATTGCAAAACTTACTGTGCATGTCCGTCTCGCTAACTTTCTATTATTGAAATAAAAATAAAAAATTAAATATCCCATTGCTCTAAAGAGGTTTGAGTTTAAAAGTGAATCGCACAAAGAAAACACAATCGCATTTGTATGAAAAATCAATAAATACGCATTAGTATAAAACTATAGCATTGACATAGAGAAGTTATTAAGATTTTTTATATAAAGGAGAGAGATAAAGCAACAACTGCAAAAAGAAATATACAAAGACAAATGCCCACCTGCTCATTAAGAAAGTGTGCAGAAACAGAATTAAGTGAATAAGAACTTAATTTGTAATCCCTCTGAATGGCCTGCATAAACAAGTACCAAAGGTGACAACTTATACAATTATGTACAATAAAATAAGGATTTTTTTGCTGTCACTCTTAAATATGAGTCTCAGATGATTGCAGTTCCGTTTGGCAGGAAAAACCTGTAGCAGGTCAAATTGTACCCTCCCCTCCATTGTAACTTCTTTACTTTCTCTGGTCCCATGCTGTCTGCAGATCCACAGGCTTTAATCCGTCAGTTTACTTAGCAACAAGATATAAACTAAGGAACTCAATAGTCCCCATTTCAAGATATGTAATGCCAATATAGACCACATACACTCGATTGCCTATTCTCGCTAATGGGGAAGCTTTAATGATTTGCAGACTGCTGTAGCTTAATGTTTTTACTTGCACATGCCTTTGCATAACGGTAAATGCTTTTCTAGGGCATTGTACAGCAGGTACAGAGTAATAGATATTTCAAATTTACAACTAAAAGACCGCATTTGCCATCATATAACTTTCTTATACAGCACTATCTTCCTAGAGGATTCAGGTTGTTATTGTGCCATCCTCATACTTGTGTGCTTAGCAGTTCAATTTCACCCACATAAATCAACTTAGTGGTCGTGCACAGAGTTAACTATAATGATGTCTGAAAGTAAGCAAAACAGTTTGGGAAGGAAGGAGAAACTATTTCAGTACCTTGAGGAAAAAGTTGTATCCTTGATGCTGACCCTACTATTTCGAATACGCCCAAGCATTGGAAATTCAGCTATTCCCAGTACATCAGCTCTCTGTTAAGTTTAAAAAAAAAAAAAAGCACTATACATAATCAACCGCTTGTTAAACTTACAGAATTTTTTTTTTTTTTTTATCTTGGGTTGGGAACAACATGCCAACATTATTTTCATGTTAATTGGAATGAGGTACTAAAAATTGAAAGGCAAAGTTAAGAGATAATATCTCCACCTCAATAAGGTATGGCATATCGAATTTGCAGATGTTATAGCCAATTATGATGTCTGGGTCCACTTCACGGACTAAGTCCTGAATAAAAATGAAGATGAAATGCAGAACTTTTAGCATATGACTGTGTGTTTTTTTCAATATAGGAGAGAAACATGTTCCATCCAATAAAACAATACCATAAAGTAAAACAATACCATAAGATAAAGAACTTCCAAGAACAGACATCATGTTCTACTAATAGTCTACTGCATAAGACAACACGACTCTTCCCAAGATTTTATTCTCCTTCTATATACATCAATGTATCTACACCTTTAGGCACAATTAGTATGATAATATGGCATCCTAGTTATGAACTTAATAGACCATATAAACTGGTATTGGCATCGGTGTACGTGGTGGTATAAATAAATGCTACCGTGTAATTCTAACGTGCAATTTGGGACTACTCGACAAGGGATGCGTGGAAATTATGTAATAAGAAAACAAGATATACATAAGGGAACGAATGCAAACAAAAAAAAAAAAAAAGAGAGAGAGAGAGAGAGTACAGCCTACCTACCAGAAGACGAGTATCGTATAATAGGACGAAATAATTTATGCGTACGAAAATAAAATGAAATAAGTGAAATGAAAATAATTAAGACCTAAATTTAAGGTAGACGAGGAATGTAAGACATTAATGGCATTGAGCATATTTAAAATGGAATGTAAAATATCTCAAGAATGGCGTTGGCTACATTTTCTGAATCTGGTAAATCTAATATTATTGGCTAGAGTTATGGCAAGAGCATTACCCTCCAAGTTAATAGAACTTCTTTTTCCGTGTCAAATGACATAACATCAACGTCGGCAATACTTGAGCAAGACTTGAGAGTCATGACATTCCGAACAAATGGCTGGCCTTCTCCCAGTAATGTTACTACATTGGCTATCTAGATAATAACAAAATATATATACATACATGCATACATATCAGAAACAAACGGTACCACCGTGGACTGTTACTTATATAGATTATAGCATGCTAACCTGGATAACGGGATCATGACTGGGATCGGGAAAATGACCTTTCCTCCCAGCACACTCAATGTCAAAACTTAGTATGCGATACGGAGCCATCGTTGAGAATTCCCCTTCAGGAGCATGACTGATCAAGTCCGAAAAACTAAGAGTGTATATAAAGGTAAAACCATTTTAACAAGATCAGATCTAGGAAGAAATACCAACTCATGTGCTAAGAGAACTGTTTACTTTCCATTCATGAGGATACAGGCAATAAAACTCCAACTGACAGTTGGAGAGACTTCTCGATATCTTGTTATATTTTCCACGGGGAACTTCTATCCAGTTACCCCCAACTATGTTGCAATCAATCATGAAACGAAGAGAGAAATTAATATTACTCTCGTACGTCATGAAACTCTTGATGCCCAGTCCATCAATTTGTATTCCTCTGTCAAGTATACCTGTCAGTATTGCATTTAGATAAATGGAAACTAACATAATTTATTACGTAGTAAAGAATCGGAAATATACTATCACCAATTTAAATATCATCTGCTTATTGAATATTTGGTTATCAATTATGAATTACAGGACAATGAGAATATCACCCCAAAAAACGATGATAAATGACAGGCAAATTGTACCTGAATAGCATGAATCATACCACGACAGCTGGCGACCATTGTTGGCAGTGCGACTACGATTTTAAGGAATGGCTGAGAGGTCTCTTGTTGATAATACATGATGCTTCTTTTCTGAACCAGCTCAATACGACGAATACATTTCGGAGCTTTGTAATTATTGTTTGTTTCTTTCATCTTACCCTGTACCAACCCCGGGTGAACAAAAACCAACACAATATAATTATATTAAAGATATTAATTTTCTTGAAGAGGTACACATGGTTACATAACATAGAAATAACTACCTCGAGAATTTGATGGAGACGGAAAATATCATCAGGACCCATTCCTGAAGGGCAGTTGGCATAGAAATATGGCTCAAATCCGTGCACAAAACAGCAAACACTATGCCCTGGCCAAGAATAATTTTAGAATTAAAAACATATGGTATCGGCCTTAATCCATATAACGATTTTCTGCAAGTACTAAAGTCTCTAGTAGAACAAAAGCTAACAGTTGTCAGTATAAGATCCTAAAATAGTAGGCGATGCACTTGTGACAAAAAAAATACATTGGGATAGAGAATATGTTATGAGATTCAAATTATTTTACTTTCAAGTTTGGTAATATAAAGACAGTTTCCTCAGTTGTCCAATAAATACTAGATAGAAAGTTCAGCCAAGTGTATCCATGTAGTAGTTGCAGCTTTAGATGGTTGAAACCCAAAATCAGTTTTATTAAAAAAAAAAAAACTCAGTCCCATTCCACAAAGTTTTACAGACTTGACCAGTAAATCCGGCCGCTAGTGACCGTGGGCCCCTTGCAAAAATAGGAAAATAAAGAGCAGAATCAGATAATGGAAAAGGAATGTAGATATATAGAGCTAACCTTCTTTGGTTACCCCAAAAATCCTTATAATTGCAGCCAGGCCGGAAGAACTTTGTAGAAATTCATTGTGTCCATCCCCAACAACATAATCCATTTCCAACTGCTGAAATACTTCATAACAGAATAAGGACGAAAGCAGAATTAAGAGGGGAATTACAGAATCAAATTCCATTACTTCAGTATGCATAGTATACAATAAATTGCAGTGACCTTTTCACTAAAACTTACAATTTCGACTTTGTAAAAAAAAAAATTGTAAATTATTGCAACACAATCAAAATTTAGAAAAAAAACTGAGAAATTTTACCGATGTTCTGAGACTGAGAAAGGTATGAACCGGAAAGGTCTGGACGCTTCCAATTGGCACGGCGGTCGAATATGACACGGCGGTCGTAAAACTCCTCTTCTTCCGTCGGCGGCGGCGCCGGGCGTTTGCGCATGTTGCGTGTTTCCTCTCTCATAGAGGCAAAGGAAAAATGCTATTCTGAATTCTGAATTCTGAATTCCGAATTCAGCAACGGGAAGGAAAACAATGTCGTAAACTGCACTATTTTTGAAGAACCCTAATTCGATCGAAGAGGGAATAAGGGAATAGAGATCTGATCATGCATAAGTGTTTATTAGAGTAAACTGCAAAAAGTACCCTAGTGTTATCTTGAAATAGTAAAAACCCCATGTGATAAATAAACTAGGAAAAACCCCCTGTGAAATTTTTTTAATAGCACACTCGGTCCATTGTGATTTTAATAGTTGACCGAACGTGAAAGGACAAATATACCCTTCGGTAAAAAAAATATAAAATAGAGGCCAAATTGAATCCAAAATAAAATAAAGGTAAAAAATTGCAATTTATGCTAAATTTCTGAAAATAAAATTAGGGACTTGATTGCAATTTCCCCAAAAAACACGGCTCCACCACCAGCACACATCCTCCTCGGCCACCACCTCATCCCTCTGCATCATCACAAACTCCCTTTTTTTTTGTTCTTTTCTCTTAAAAAAAATAAAAACAACATTTGATCCACCATTTTCTCCAGCCCTCGGTAGTTGCTCCGCCGCCACATTTACCAAATCGAAAAGTTTATGAATATGATTTTCAGATTTTTGAGGTGAAGAAGAGGAGAGCAGAGGGGCATCACGATCTGATGGTTGTGGCGGCTATTGAGGAGCAGCCCATGGTGAAGTGGGGGTGGGGTGGGGTGGGGTGGTTGGAGGCCACTGGAATTGGGGCTGGAGAATTAGAGGGGCAATTATGTCATTTTAGGTCTCAAATCCATTTTCACTCGCATGTATCCGCGAGTGTGCCACACGCAAGTGTACTAGGGAGGTTTTTGCCTTTGACTAAATTTCACATGGGGGTTTTTGCTAGTTTATTTATTACAGGGGGGTTTTCGCTATTTCAAGATAACACATGAGTATTTTTTGCAGTTTACTCGTGTTTATTATCATAATTAATTTAATATTTCATGCATATTTAAACCGTGATAATTATCAATATTCTTCCAATTTAGGTTTAACTAGTACTACACCCGTGCGATTCACGGGGTATTCATCGTAAAAAAAAAATATTTAAAAATAAAAAGGTTTATCGAGATAGTATAAGATTGATTATTGATATGCAATACAAAGAAGTAGAAAATAATAAATAAAAAAAAAACTAATTTTTATAGTATAAGTGCTGAAAGAAGCCGAAAAAAGTGAAATAACTAATACTACTATTAATACTAATACTAATATTAATACTAATACTAATACCAATATTAATACGCATACTAATACTACTACTAATATTAATACTAAATACTATACTAATACTAATACTATACTAATACTAATACTATACTAATACTATACTAATATATATTAATACTAATACTAATACAAATACTAATACTAATAAACTAATTCTAATTGGCATGGTAATGCTAAAGCTAATGCTAATACTAATGCAAATCATACCCCTAATGATTCTAACTCTAATACTAATCCTAATGATACTGCTAATGCCAACAAATTGTTCATCGTACATAATTCACCAAACAATAACATAAACAATGAACGAATTATTGAGTTATAATAAACCATCGTTTATCTATTTTATAAATCACGTGTCTAGTGATGGTAATGAAAATAAGATTTTGAAAATAATTATACGCATTTAAGTGGGTTTAGATTAGTCGAAACAATTAAAATCATTCAACGCACATAATAACACAAAAAAATGAAAATAACTGTTTACAAATTATAATTGTCATTTACCCATCTATTAAATATTTTATCTATTAATGGTAATGATATAAATATTTTAAAAAGTATTTATCAACATTTAAGTTGGTTTACGTTCGTCAGAGCAATTTAAATCGTTTTATGCCCATAATTCACCTAAAAATGACTTAAAAAAGAAAATAATTAATACTAATACTAATATAATGATAATCTTAATACTAATATTAAAACTTATACTAATGTACTAATACACTAACGCTAATTGTAATGGAAATGCTAAAACTAATGCTAATACTAATACTAATGCTAATCATACTCCTAATAATTCGAACTCTAAAACTAATCCTAATGAAATGCTAATAATGCTACGAAATTATTTATCGTACATAATTCACCAAACAATAACTTAAAAAATGAACGAATTATTGAGATATAATATATTATCGTTTATCTATTTTATAAATCTTGTGTATAGTGAAGGTAATGAAAGTAAGATTTTGAAATTGTTTATCCACATTTAAGTGGGTTTAGGTTAGTCAAAACCAATGTTTTGAAAACCGGACCGGACCGGCCGGTCCAACCGGTTCGACCGCGAACCGCCTGCCTATCCGGTCCGGTTGGTTACCAAAACTCGGAAAACCCAAAAACCCGGGTCAAAGGGCGAAAATCCGGTCTGACCGCTAAGAACCGGTAAAACCGGAAATCGGAGAAGAACCCGGTTTTAGCTCAATAATGATTATTCCCGTCGGAATTTCGTGGTGGTTGGTCGGATATTGGCGAGGGTGGTCGGATCTGAATCGGGAGTGGCCGGATCTGAGTCGCGGTGAGTTGTGGCTGGCCGGATCCATGGCTGAAGAAAAAGGACGAAAGGAGGGATATATGTTACTTACAGATGGAGAGAAGGTAGAAATTGAGAAAATAACAGTGAAAGCAGTGGCTGGATGAAATAGAAAGAAAATGAGGGATTGACGGGGAAGATGAAGAAATGTGAGAGGAGAGAGAAACTAAA